CCAAGTGCCAACCAGGCTGTCCAACACGTTGCCGTTTCACGCCAACCAATTTACTCGTGTCAACAATTGAAGGCCTATTTGAAACCTCATTTGTCATTATATTCACCCCATCCCACGGGAATATATCACCTCATCCTCAGTGTCTACTGTGTTTAGAAACACAATGCTCCTATTTACCAGCACTACGTACGTTTCCCTCCGTATCGATCCCGTGATTGGGTTCACTACAAAATATCATCCCGGTTGAAAGGACTAGGTCTGTGTGTATAAAATTGATTGCAGCGATTGCACTAAGGTATACATGGGACAAACTGTCAGGGAATTGCACACCAGGACTGGTCAGCATAAAAGGAGAATAGATAAACCACCAAAGAATGTGGAAGAATACCGAACGCTGGTCGAAGACTCAGTGATGGCGATCACGAGACAGAATAGACCTGCGATTCACACCACAGCGGCTGATAGCCGAGGCGGTGGAAATTACCAAGCAGCATAGCGTGAAAAGAATCGAGAGTGTGAAGCTGGTGAGTGTATCAAAAGCGGTCTCAGATAAGCCGAGTTGATACATGACTGTGTGTGGTTGTCAGTGCACTTTGAATTATTAGCGGAAATCCCAACCCGACCAGCGCAACTGTCGTAGCTCATCCACACAGACGGACAAAAAGTGCAGACGACGTTGATGAGGGATCATCATGTGAACCGACCGCAAGAAGTAGACCGCAAGGTGGACCCCACTCCATGTAGGTTCTCCATCGGCTTAACGCTTGGTGATCAACCCTAACACACAAAATCCCTTGACAGACACCGAACGCAGATTTGACTTGACTTAGCTGACTGGCTCTCCTTCCGCCTTGACCAACCTCGTAACCTAATCACTTGGGCTAACGAAGCTTTTGTGTCAAAAGCAAAGCCTTACCCAACAATAAGTCTACCGATTGTTAATATACGTTTACCAGAAGTCACGGAAATAGTCTGCGATTCAAGAAATATTTAAACAAAAAGTCTTATACCCTAGAAATACGTGGTTAACTAGCTTCTATACTGTTTACTCAAGTTGCTTGGTCAGTTTGTAATCATTATCCAGAGTATGCAATTACTTGACTGACACTTTTAAGCCGTTCTTGATAAGGTTGTCATCCACAGGTGCGAGATGACAAATGCTCATTATCATCGTCATCAACACCTGGTGGTATACAGACAACTGGTTTCACTTGATTGGTAGATTCTATCAAGGCGCACCATGAAATTATAGTTAGTTCCAAACTACCCGTTCAAAAAATACAATCCTTTCCTCATATTTTTTTCTTTCAATACCTCAGGTCGAATCTTTCAAACAAATTTGTCGCAGCTTTTCAATCGACTGTAATGAAATGAATTTTTATGAGGGAAAACCAGGAAAGCCAGGTAAGTGGATGAAACTGCTCGGTGCTCTTCCGTTAACTTGCAAAACAAAACAGCCAATCCGTTTCCAGCTGAGAATTTAAAATGCGTTTGATTTTGTTCAAATCCAATTACCAGGGGAACAATCAAGATGTGTTAGAAATGGCTGATGTAGAAATCAGCGGTTGGTTCACCAACTAGGGTGAGGAGACAGACCTTTGGTGAGTTTAATTTTTTCTTTGAGGTCATATGGAAAGACCAGTTTTACGGGAGGTTCTTTCCAAATTCTCTTGTCAAATTTTGCCATTTCTGAGTTTCATTATTCTCTCCCACAGCTGGTAATTTAGTTTAGGTGAGCTCTCTAACACATCATCGTTCATCAACGATCGCCCAGAAAACGAGGCGTATTTCTAACTAGGAATGTTTGCTGAGGCTCAAGCTTCTTTAGTTGAAACTGACAGAACAACTGACATTCCCACATCCATACAGTCATCCCACCAGAAACTGGGTTCGGCCTCGTAAAAATGCACTTTTAAAGAGTGAATTACTCTGCTTTTGTGATCTCCAGACATGATGCAAGTTGACGTTCGTATAGTCTTACTCTCATCGAGCCGTCACTCAATACACCAGTGCCCTCGAACCTTGTCACCCGTGGGCCTGTCCAAACGATCTTTCTTGTGCTGTTATTCAGCATTTGAAACCGACCAAGAACCAATAGCTTGGTCAGGATGTTTTGCCAAGGCAACAACACTACTTGTGGGTGTTGAATGCCTCCTTCTTCACTACAACATTCCCACTGGGGTTCTGCCCGATAGCTGCAGTTGGGGGATGATGAACAATTGTTTTATCTTGTTTTATCGAAAACTCGGTGCTCAACCTCATTTGTTTGTCTTATCTGTTCAAACCTGTGGCATCCATATAGTCACGCACTAAGCGTAGACATGAGAGGCGTCCTGTATAGTCACGCACTAAGCGTAGACATGGGAGGCGTCCCCTGACGTCGTTGGCGGAAAACACCTGTACTTGTATACCACAACTGGCGCCATACCAACACAACGTTCAAACAGTGTTGTTTTCTAGATTTATGGAACCTCGATAGTGCTTCGGGAATGGTACTAGGCATGATAGAATAACATAAAGTCTTTAGTCCGCACAAATTACAACACATTTAAAGCGCTAGGCCAGATTACGACGACATACAACTGAAGCCACGAGCAAATGTCACCTGGTTGATTTGAGTGGTACGAACATACACTTGATATTTGTGACACTGCTCTTGGGCTAATAAGGTCGCGGAAGCCCAGTGGAATTAATGCGGCGATGACTTTTGATCACCAGACAGAGAACTTGTCAGTTCCATGGAAATCTTAAATCCCAACGAAAAACCGGATATGTTTTCAGTCCAACACAGCCCAAAGTAGGTGCTAGCGTTAGGTGCGTTAGGCGGCAACTTTTAAAACATCAGACTAGTCGAATGACAGTGCGAAACAGATCACGGTTAGACAAATTTTAGCAATGCCCTGAGAGCAGCTTGCACGAAAGCAAATAGACAAGCAACTATCATATTGCTATGTTGTATAAACCCAATAGATTCGAAATAGTTGACCGTGGAACAGATTCATCCTTGCTCACCTTTATGCCACCCTCGCAAAACCAAAGGTAATGTCATAATGAGCGTAGACCGTAGTTTACTTCGGTCCTTTATCGATCGGATACGTTCACGTTGCCGAAGTATGCTGTATCAATGAAGCTTTCCATTGGTTGCAGCCTGTTCAGAGAGTTGACTGGTTACGTAATCTACCAAATTACAGATAGCGCCACAAACATTTTTGAAGTTACAACGGAGAATGTGGAATAAAATGCAGCCCTCCGTCCAAGAGCTAATTTGAATCTTACTCAGGATCATAAAACATGAGTTTCTTCGCTTAAAAGCAAGCTGATTCTATTTACAATTGTTTCTTCTTTTACCTTATTATGAGGTTCCATTTGGGGCTCCCGTGTACGCTCATCATATCCGCAACAAATACATTCAGTCCACTGGGAAATATATATAATAACACAGCATAATCTGTTGGAATATTGGTGGCTGGGGTGAGTTTAGTGGTTGTTGATCAGGAAGCTGACTATATGTTCGCCGAGCTTGGCAATTGGCTTTCAAACGTTTCGTCACCATCAGAGCGCAGTTGATTGGGTATTTCTTCCTTGCCTGCGTGCGTTCATACAACATTCAGAGGCTATCTGTTACCTTCAGATGTGATTGGCCACTTGAAGTGTAACGAATTTAGTGAGTTCATTGGTCTGTTTGTGATATTTGCTGCGTTTTGGTCTGCGTTCCATTGTGTTGAGAACGTCAGATCACAACGCAATGGGAATCAAGGCAAGAGAGAACAAGCGACCGAAAATAGGCATTGGGATAACCCATCAACACACAACTCAACAAATATCACAAACGGACCAATAGATTTACTACATTTGTTGCACTTCAAGTAGCCAATCAAGTCGGAAAATAACAGGTGACCTTCGAATGCTATATAAACGCTCACAGGCAAGGAAGAAGTACCCACCCATTTGCGCACTGACGATGTCTCCTCGTATGGTGACGAAACGTTTGAAAGCCAATTGTCAAGCTCGGCGAACAGATCAACAGCCACCTGCTCAACAACCAATAACACCACATAATCTGCTTGGGCGACCGATGAAGAGCGATGCACTGAAAAGCCGAAACACAAATCATGCTGACTGTCAACCTTTTTTACAGCATATCTCCAGAGGCAATTACCTCAATGGTATGAAAGGCCCCATTCATTTCAGAACCTAACAAGTCATCTAACTACTGGAAAGCATCCAGCCATAAGTTCAACACCCTGACGCAGTCGGTTGATCTGAACTGTACAGTCATGAAATGTGATGGGCTACAGTGCATCAGAAGTGTATCTTCGCCCGATTACGTGGCGCAAAAACCTACTGATTGCAACTTTGAGCTTTCTTTGAGAAATCACAGTCTATTCACCGTTCCAAATTTGTGCTGCCTGAATTCCTGTCTTCCTAGTTGGTCTGGATCCTATGAACTTGAAAGCTGTGTAGCTGTAGTCTGACTGCAACTGCCAAAAGTACATTAACGGACAACGCTGACGTTCAAAATCTACGAAAACTCACGTCAGAAACTTTGCCCGTTTGCCAAACAAAAGCGAAAGAACGGTTGCGCTTTACAACTGCTGGCCTACAGATATTGTGCGACGAATACAAGTCAATTTTCTGATCCGCTGTGACAATGAATTAAGGGGGTGTAGGGTGAGCTAACAACGTGACAATAACGCTTAGCGTTGTTTGTAAATTGCATTTTGATTTGCGATCAGAATAGTGCTATGAATGCACACTCTGGAACAGTTCTATCGTCATTTTTTCAAATCTTTTTGCAAAAATATACTTGCTTAGGTAAACTTATTTGATGATTCGAAAAATCCGACTAGATGGTCACTACTTTGCGTGATGCGTATTTCACAAAGATACCTTCCTGCGGTATCAAAAGACAGTTTGGATTGAAGAATCGACCACTACATTCATAAAAGCCATCTGTTCCACTGCGGTTCGGAGTAAGACTTGCGGATATCGGTAAAACAATGATAAGCCCTCAGAACACAAGGGATCGTTTGGTGAGAAACTCCAACGTCGTTCTTATGAAGGCATGATATTTGCTTAGACTGGCGGTTCGAAATTTCAAACGCATTGGTGATATGGTTTTAGGTGTCTACACTGTTGTTTGTCGGATATAGCCCACAACATGTGTTGCATCGATAAGCCAGTAAACTATCGCGGTCATGAATGAAACATCTAAAAATATCTCCCTCCAAACCAACCATTGAGAATTCACAAACCTAGCCGTCATTTCTGCATGTCCTAGCCCACAAAACTACAATTGTTCAATTACATTGAACAAGAGCCAGTTAAAAAATTTCTAATAAACCTAGCTACTGGTTCATTTGCCAGCTGAACAAAAGTCATTTTGTGACCTTTGACCTTTAGAGCCTCTGTTGTTCAACCATAAAAATCAATAAACACTCTAGTGCAGGTTGTCTGAAGCATTGATATAATTCCCTCACCTGTGGCGGCACAAAAATTATTTCAATACCAACTACAAATACATGAGTGAGTACTTAGTACAAAGTCGTAGGTGTTCTTTTCATCTTGAGATGAATCCCGGCTGTACGTGAATCACCCGTCTAGTATCGCTCTGAGCACGCAGGAGTTGCTGGGTCAATACCACGAACCGAAACTTATGACAAGTATCCTTCCTAATATAAAAATATGGGACTTTAAGAGCCTAACAAATCTATTCGTACCTGCATCATTACTGTGTTGTGAGGTGACAATACTCATCAGGTTGTTATTGATTACACGTCGGTTTTCGAAGAAAAATGGCTTTGGTGAATTCCTTGGAGTAGCCTTGTATCCTTCACCGCACTGCAGCTTATCTAAGGCAGGCAGATCTCCCACGTTTAAGTAGATTTGCTTGTGATATCTGCATGGGTTTATTAAACACGAACCTGACATGGCCAACACAGAAGTTGAAAAACACCTCTGCAGACGCACTGTAGTAAGAGGCTGCGCCAAAGTAACAGTTAAATTTGATCAGTCTACTGGCACGGATTATTCCCTGAGTAAGGGAGAACGCTGTTTTAGAGAAAGGAATCCGTGATCCAAGTTCACCGGGAGTGCACGACCTTGCCAGCGATAGTTAAACCCGGTTGTTTTAGGAGAAACAGTTTAATACAGTGATGCCTGATGCGACTGATGTAACCAGACGTCTGACAAATTTAGTGAAGTTCTTGGACGGATTATGCACCTTGCATCATCTTTTTAGGTAACCGTTTTTAGCGCAATACAATAATTTGCAAACTAATTTCGTTTTGTGGGAGACTCACCCAAAACACAGATGAGTCTCTCGTTCATGATGCTTTCAAGAAATTGAATGTGCTGCACCAGGCCGCCTCATGTTGCAGTTGTTATGATATTCGAGATACCACGATACTTACATAGACCTGATACACTACTCATAAGGTTGCTGAAAACTCTTCAGCAGCTCACGACCGGTTTCACCCTTCCTGGGGCTTATCAGGTGCGATTTGAGTTTATGTAGAACGTAACGTTGACGAAGAATCAAGGACTGCGCCACCAGACTAGCCCCAAGAAGGGCGAAACCGGTCGTGGGATATCGAAGAGCTTACAGCAAACTTATGAGTAGTGTAATACATCTATACGACCGTTTTTTATGGTGACGTTGGGACTCTAAAAATTCAGCATTACCTGAGTCAACGTTATAGAGAAGTACACCATGTTTGCTGATCCATTAGGGTGCACCCAGAAAGTCAAACATTGCTGATTTTTCGCCCAAACGATGTTATCTGTTTGCTATTTTATTGCTTAGCAAATATTGTTTTTGATGACAACTAATGAGTAGTACTAATAAACGCACTTTGCTTAAACACTGAAAAATTTGGTGCAGTTTGAGAGCATAACTCTGTTCATAGCATGGCGTTCAGATAAAAGCTATCCTCCCAAAAATGCTGTGAAAATATTTCCAAAAGTTTGCTTGGGACATTCGTCAATGAGCGCACGTTTCGGTTGCCGCCACACAGACACACACACCTACTCTGGGAGAGTTTCAACAGAACGTGCGAAATTGGACAATTCTTTCCAAGTATGTAACACTCTGTTGATTGGTCTTCCAGTTTGAGCAGTATTCACTAAGCACTCAGAATTCGAGTGGGGCCGGCCAAAATGATCTAGTTAGCAGCTTGTCGCGGGATTTACTGATTCAACTCAATCAAGTCAACAGCTTGTTTTGATTAACTGGTTTACTAAAAGGTTGTAAACAATGAGCACGTAGTGGTGCGCGCTAGCGACCCGGTTCTATTGGGCGCACGATATGGCGAAGAAAAAAAAAGGATGACCGAAAGCGGAAGGTCTAGAAAAATAAATCAGATGCTAGTCTGAGTGATGAACATTAGGATTTTGAAGAATTAGTCGACTCGCTGAAAAGCGACTTATCCATTTTGACGAATAGATTTGTCCCCTTTTTTGGTGGGATTCAAGACCGAGTGAACGTCGGTAATAATGTCAAAAGAACGATTATACGATGAAAGACGCAGATTCGTTATTCAGTGGAGTTAGTAGTGTGGAGCATCCTTTTTTTCATGAGAAAAATTATTTATCCTGGCAGGTAACCCGTGGATTCATCCAAACATTGGTTGGTGGTGCACATCTCCGGCAGTTCCAGGAATTTAACACCGGATATTCTACAAATAATTCGGGTGTACACTATCGCATCGTTTATTCTGAGAACTCCAAACACTAATGCGAGCACAATCCAGAGCGAACACTCACCCTTCTTGTGTGTACATGTGGTGAGAGAGGGACTGGGGTTATGGTACAGACTGAAAGTAGTCTGTGAAACTGATCGATCCGGTCAGTTCCACAAAAACTTTATCGAACTTCCACTAGCTCACAAAAACATTGTGAAATGGAGTTCTACTCGCCTCAACCTAAGTGTGCCTTCTACCAGATTTTCAACGTTTGTATTGTCACCAGCCGCAAAACCCACGGTGCGTGTAAAACACTCGGTTCAAATCAGGGTGTTATCCACAATGTCACTTCCTGTTTCGGTCATACCGCCACAAATCCACTTACATCCGAGGCACTTTCCGACAATTTATACTCCTCTACGTGTAGCTGTCTAACGTATGGGTGACTTAGAGAACCTATCGTATTGGCTACTTCACCTGCTAACTGCCAGGAAATCTAGGCGATTCTCAAATTGGAGTGTTTTTTTAGGGATAAGAATTAGCTGCTATATTTTCTGAAAGATCTGGATGTTTGTCCTATCTTAGGGTAGATCCAAAACGAGGAATACGTCATTGTTGGAAAGAAGAATGCTTTCGATGCGGACTTATATATTTAAAACACCAACTGGACAGTTACAAACTATTGGACGGGGAAGAAAAAACTCTCAAATGCACTACGTTTAGAAAAACTGAGAATCCGTCTTCATCTTGAATGCGTCTTCCTGAACTTTCCTGGATACTCATTGACTATCACTCAACTGTAAACGAATGCTACAAAGTACCTACAAAAATTCTGCAATAAGTCTCACTCTTCAATAGACGCGAAGCGGATTTACGAGAAAACGACATACTACTCGCATGCCTCATCAGTAGTATCCACCGTTACACTGATAGTTCCTAAAGTGTGAAAAACGCCAAGTTAAATGAGTTTGCTATTATTGTAACCAAATTTAATTCCCACCTATTTCGTATGTCCTACATGCACGTCCGAACAACACAAAAATGTTTACATGAACCTTCAAGCATGTGAATGCACGAGTTAGGGAGAAAAGCCCTTCACTGCGAAGTCAGCGGCCGTATGGACGGTGTTTTAAAAGCTCAACGAACTGACCAATAATAATCTGACGCATAAGGCGTTTAGAAGGCAAACGGAGTGGAAATGCGGTTTTTTCAAAAGGCGTAGTAATGGGCGGGTCATATGGCGTATTTCTGTGTCCACTGCTGTGCAAATTCCACAGTTTTCCGATCACTGTTGTACTGAAGTGCTGTATCTGGAAGAAGGGGATCATCCAAGTTAGGGTTCGTGAGCAGCTGACGGATGGAGAGCAAAAGGTTCGATAAAGTTGCGACTTGGGATATTTGGCTACAAAGTATATCTAATCACATGCTTCCATTTTCATTAGTATTTGGTTGATGAATCTTCGTATTGAGGTTCAACTTCGGGGAGGGAGGGGAGGGCTTAAATGGACGGTCTGTAGGAAACACAATCTTCAGGAAGAAATGCCTCCCTCATAAGCATCATCGGAATACCCATGACTGTCGCTTGCAATGTAAAGAAATTATCAACAAACGGTCCTGAGGAACGTTTCGAAAAACAATCGCAACCGAGGTTCTGAAGTGCCTTATTGATACGCTTCAAAGGCATCCCTTCAGCCCCGGGAGCAGCTTCCGGACAGTTCGAGAAAACCCGGGCTTTAATTAGTTGCTCTTCCGGGAAATTGCAATTCTGAACTTTGCCAGTTTTTCTGGCAGTGGGCTTATTTGTCCGTGAGTTCTCACCAAACTTCGAGCGAGTATTGTCTTGGCTTCAGTTATCCGCAGGCCAGCCTCCCGAATACGTTCAAGTGAACTGCATGCTCTGGTTCCAAACCACTGTACACGCCGGTAGCGTCCCTGTACACGGCAATATTTTGTAGTCCCTTCGTTAAACAAAGCGTCAAGTACCGGAATGTGAATAGTGCCCCAGACAAACCAAGCGACATTAGTCTAAGTTGATATTGGGTGTCCTCAACCGTGAACGCCGTCTTTCCACGGCCATCCAGTTGCTGGTATCTGGAACCCAAACAGAACACAGCGAAGTGTCGCAAATGCTGGAGCAAAGTGGAATATTCTACAACCGAAGGGACGGCTGCAAGTCGATTTACGGTCAGTTCATCCAAACACTAGAAATCCAATTAAAAAATCCCGTTCGCCTGGAACTGTTAGTTTCCCCGATTATGCCATTTTTCGACCTCTCTTGAACCTGTTTGTGGACCTCCTACCGTAAGGTCGAAAGCGTTTGGACGAGAGGGGAATTTCGCGTTCAATCCACGAGTAGAAGTCAAGCGAACCTTCATAGCCTGTGAACAGTTCGGAGACCTCCCCGACCACGGGCTGCGCTGACGGCACACGCAGAGGCTTTCGGACACGCATTTTTCTCACGGAAGCACAGTTCGGAGACCTCCCCGACCACGGGCTGTGCTGACGGCACACTACATAGCAGAGGCCTTCGGACACGCATTTTTCCCACGGAAGTGCTTGACTAACCATACCAGTTTTCACCACTCTGGGTCACCTGACTGTGGGGACCCCCTGACCAAAGGCGTAAACACGTTGAACCAGTCAGAAATTCGGTAATTTAAGACCATATGTCTCTTGGCTGTTGTTTTGAGAAAGCAAACCTGTAGTCCTGGCAACGTTTTATAAAAGAACTCAAAAACAACCGAATTTTCAAATGCTGAATGCAAAATGCACGTCATTTTTCCCAAGCGTGAAAAGCACACCTGGTTTTTTTAGCGATTTGTGGACATCCACATACAAACAAGCAACAAAACAGTTCAACCTATTGTGAAAATACTTTGGGTTTAGCTCACAAACAATGGTGCGCTTTTTTGACATTCGCGTTCAGGTTTCACTGTATCGAAACTGCGAACTTTCTGATCTGTTGATGGTCTGGGACGGTATCGCTGTTTCGTGTCAACACAACGTCTATTTCTACCCTATTTTTAGAAGATGCTAGTTCAGTGGGCATTCATTCTGGAAGTCAGGCATTTTCTGGACAAGACACTACACATAAGTTCAATGAAAACTTCCCGGTAGTCGATTACGGGTTCGGTGCTCCTCACATGGGAGTGGTCCCCGAGTTTCCATCAACTATACGCTCCAGTATAACACTAAGTTTTGCACACTTGACTGTTAATTAATTACCTTGTTACGGAGAACTCAAATGGCCTTTTTTCACAAAGGAAACTACTCAGAATGTTGCTGAAAACTCTTCGACAACCCACGACCGGTTTCGCCCTTCTTGGGGCTCATTAGGTAGGCGCAGTCCCCGAGTTTTCGTCAACCTTATGCTCTATTATTTAACTAAATATGTTGCTGAAAACCGAATGATGCTTCAACTGGGATGAAAGTCGAGCAACTGCGGTGAATTTTTTTGACGAAACGAACTATTCCTAGTTTCTTCTTAAAACTGTTTGACAGTCCACAAACGGCTTTGGGCTTCTTGGGAAAGGTACATGGCGAGCTCTTGAGTATCATGCCAGCTGAAACACGAAGCGGTCGTTGTGCAACTCACTCAGTTGGAGAGTGTCATAAACAAGAGGAATGGCTGGGACTCAGCTGAGTCTCTTGTTTGCTCTGCGAGTTGATGTACTTCGTCACTCAGAGGCTTTGTTGTGATCACAAACTCAACCCAGCAGTACCGAATCACTGGTTTATGCATTGTGATTGTATACAGTGACTTGGAACATTCTCCTGGGGTTTACTGTTGTATCTGCTGATTCGTGAATCTGTGGTAACTGCTGCTGACCCGCTCCAGTACTTAGCTGCCAGAAAAAAGACTCACAGAAAGGAACACAACAGTTATGTTCTGAACAAGCGAGTGCGAGAGCAAAACTTACAACGGTCCCACGCTATTTAAATGGGACTTTATAACATTGATCCAGGCTGTCTGATAGGTGTCAGTGAACACCCATCAACATCGATCGTGCCTCTATGACATGCCTGAACGCTGATCACATTCGGTCGTGCTTCTGTGGCGGGCAAGAACACTCATCAGGTTTTGCTGAATTTATTAAATGATTGACTGCCCCGGATGTTTGCCGGCTTTCCTGTTGAGATTTTAGTGGAGCAGTAGGTTTCGGGCATTCTGAGGTTACTTTCAGAAAGCTGACCTTCCTGATATTTCCCTATATCATATATACGTTCAGCACTACTCCAGAAAGACGATTAAAGACAGTACAAATGATATTTCATAAACGGGGACCAGAAAACTAATAAAAAAGCCCATTTTCTGCTTTGTACAGTGCTGTTTGCTGTTTCAATATCCGGCTGTTTAATGTTGACAGAAGATGCAAGGTTTGAAATACCTAGTTCCGATTAACGAGGCAAAATCCTTCAAATGGTGTCTACTTGCAATAACACTCAGCTGAATGTGATATAAGGAAGCCGTCTTATATATTCCTCGGAACAGCATTCAAGGCTTCAAAGTATTTTCTCTGACATGACACTACTTTTAGGTGATGTCATGTCATATGAGAAAGCAGTACGCATTTGCAGTGACAACCAGATCGGAATAGGATACCTTTCGTCTCGTTTAAAGGGATTGTGCGATTAAATCGAAGGCCGCGCCCGGAATGCCCAAACAGGTTCTCCTCTGTCTTCCGACACTGGTCGAATGTCAGTCTGACCACAGCTCAGAAAACTCATCTACACAGATATGAATTATTCGTGCGTTCATTATTCGATCATATTACTAGATAAACATGCTAGTTCCGCCACTGTAAACTGTGGTGTTCTACTACCCTAAACCAGTGATTTTTATGCTGTTTTATGCCTTTTTCATATCTGTTTTTAACAAACAAAATCCATAAACTGGGGTGAGTTCAGAAGGAAAGGGGTGTCGAATCCAGATCAAAACTGAGGATACATACAGCGAGTACAAATGCTTGTTATTTAACATGGCCAGTTGTTTGCATCTCACTACTCAGAAGCACAGTGATGGTGTAGCACCTTCAGAGTTAAACCGATAGCTGGCTGTATGTCGGGTCTCGAGAGTCGAGGGAAGAATGCCTTTCAGAATCTAGTCATGGTCTCAGTAGAGTACTGGTTTGTCTACCGTCTCAGTCGAACAAAAGCCTAAAGGTCATGCGTGTGGTTGTAGCCCATACTATACAAATCTTGATTAAAGTACTTTTCGAGAAGCTTGGTAGCTAAAATTCTAAACTATGAGGTGAGAGATGCTCTTTGTGCGTTCCAAGATGAACATACAAAGAAAGATGATACTAGTTGTTGATCAGGTGACTATTAAGCTGTTCGAAGAGCTTGTAAACTAACTCGCAAATGTTTTTTTACCATACGGGGCACAACATTAGTGCGTTATCGGG